TCTAGAACTATAGCCCCATCCATAGCTCCGCAGCAGGCCTATAGCAGGCATTGGTGGGTTATAGCCCTGCTGCGTAGAGCGAGGGCTATAGTTCTAGAGGCTAAGGTTAGGTTAGCTTAGGTGAGCGAGAGTGAGTGTGACACAGAGGGAGAGAAAGCGAGTGTAAGAGTGAGAGCGAGCGAGAGTGACAGCGTGCGTGGAAGTGTGTATGAGTCTGGGAGAGCACGCGCGAGAGGGAGAGAGAGAGAGCGGCGAGATAGGCTAGATAGAGAGATAGCTTAGATAGAGAGAGTTAATATGCAAATAATAAATGCTAGTTGTATTTTGTAAATAAAGCTTTTATTTTTAACGAATTTACTTGATTTACAATTGATATAATAAAATGTTTATGCTAAACTAGCTAATTCTTGATTTTCTTTTTCTCTCGACTCCTGAAGTCAATCGTACACTGACACAAAGTTAATGCTAAACACTAAGCTATGCGAAGCTAAGCGAACTTAGAAAATAACTGCATCAAACGATATATGCTTGACTGACTATTGATATGAACAAATATACGATTGACTGACTATAGATATGAACAAATATACGATTGACTGACTATTGATATGAACAAATATACGATTGACTGACTAAGCTATGCGAAGCTAAGCGAACTTAGAAAATAACTGCATCAAACGATATATGATTGACTGACTGTTGATACGAACACATATACGACTGGCTGACTATTGATATGAACTAATATATGAACGACTACAAAGATTCGACATCACCACAACCTAGTATGTAAACTAAGGCTATGAGATAAGAGTGAAGGGTATGAGATAAGAGTGAGGGTATGAGATAGAGTGAAGTGTATGAGATAAGAGTGAAGTGTATGAGATAAGAGTAAAGGGTATGAGATAAGATTGAATGGTATGCGATAGAGTGAAGGCTATGAGATAGAGTGAAGTGTATGAGATAAGAGTAAAGGGTATGAGATATGAAGATTGAAGGGTATGAGATAAGAAGAGTGAAGGGTATGAGATAAGATTGAATGGTATGCGATAGAGTGAAGGCTATGAGATAGAGTGAAGGGTATGAGATAAGAGTGAAGTGTATGAGATAAGAGTGAAGGGTATGAGATAAGAGTGAAGGCTATGAGATAAGAAGAGTGAAGGGTATGCGATAAGAGTGAAGGCTATGAGATAAGAGTGAAGGGTATGAGATAAGAGTGAAGGGTATGAGATAGAGTGAAGGGTATGAGATAAGAGTGAAGGGTATGAGATAAGATTGAAGGGTATGAGATAAGAGTGAAGGGTATGAGATAAGAGTGAAGGGTATGAGATAAGA